GCTGGGCGAGGCGGAACGCGCGCGCCGCCGACGACCATACGAAACGAGACGGATAGTGTTATATTATAACTTGCACCTATTATAGTTACTAGGTATAGGAGGTACGGGCGCACGCTGTGTCGCGGGTCGTCGTAATCGTTCTAGTAATAATAATATTATAATGACGACAATAATTATTAATTAATAATCAACCAAGTGAATAATAATTATTATTATTATATATACATGGTACTCGCGGATTTCCGTACTTGAGCGTTTTTATTGATGGATAATCAAACGAAAATAAAACAATATCGACTGTATTATTTAGTAGACAGTAGTATTATTATTAATATCAAAAATGCCTACCGAGTTCAGCCCCCCCCTCCTCACACGCCTGTCAATCAACACGAATGGTATAAAAAATATTTCAAATAATCAGAAATATTCTCAAAATCCCTTAAGCTTATAACAATACCTCGTGCGCAAACCTGCATCATTGAATAATTCAATTAGATTACTAATATATAATTCAATTTGAATTATATATTAGTAATCAATACTTTTTGCCACGAAAAATATAGTTGTTTTAATTTTATTTTACTTTTTAAGTTCCGCGAGCGTGTTTAAAATTTAAATATCGTTGACCGTGGAATAAGTGACATTTTAATATTTTATGACAAGATATTAATACCAAGATTTTTTAAAATTCTTTTCCATTCGTTGACCGCAGTTTGCATTTAATACAGCCATAAACGTTATAGTGTATAATATTATATATTGGTCGTTCATAACTGTCAAAATATATAACATGTCTGATGAAATTGTAATTAAAAATAAAATCATGCATCTCGTTAAATTATGATTTTTAACGAATTTCAAATTTCTAATGGAAATAGTGGAATCGCAATGAGATCGCATATACGCATCAAATTGTGAAAGGTGGTTATTTAAACGGTGATTTTAAGTGAGAAATTAAATTATTATTATTTGTTGTATTAGTTATTTAGTTGTAACATCGTACAAATAATACACCATACATGTTTATGTTTAACCAATGTACAATTATGAACTTTCACTTGATTAAAACCATTTTTCTCCATTTAAAACATACGAAACATGTAAGGTAGGTATATATAGACAACATAGAAAATACTGAGTTCTTTGAAACAGAATCAAACAAAAAATTGGTACCAACTTATCAGTTATGAACATAAAAACTGAAATGACGACAGTAATATTATTACGGAAATACGACTAACGAGATAATATACGACGTGGGTGTAATGTCACGGAAACGTAGGAGAACAAACTGTCGTCAGTCTGATGTTATATCCACCGGTTCGTGTTCTTGGGATATGGTCGCAACAGGCCGTGTGGTTGACATAATAGTATGCTTACAAGTAATTTTTACTAAAATCTAAACAAAATAAATCCATGTATTACTCTGTTAGGTTAATATAATGTATGTATTTTACATATTGTATAACGATAAGACGTACAACTATTACGTGCCTGACTTTATAAGGCGAGTCGTGTGTTTCGTTTCAATTTCTTATTGCTATTTAAACGAAACAGTATAAAAACGGAATAAACCATTATTCGTCAATAAGAATATCATCAATTATTATTTTATTAAATTATTATTATTCAAACTCAGATCTGCGTATACATATTATAATTTATACTACCTACCTGATACATTCGCACATACTATATATGGTACATAAAATGATAAAATATAAATATTATAACAATATAATCTATAGGTATTTCAATACGGCGTTATATCGAACTAACAACAAACTGAATGCTTTCCATAATAATATATAATATTAAAATACCTATATTATGAGTATTTAAAAAATAGTATGTAACGATACATGCGTGTAAGGGCTTTTCGAGTACTACAGTTACTAAGGTATTAGATACTATTATATATTTTTGTGCAATTTATTTGGCTAAACCAAGTTTAAATAATACAATGATATGGTTGAAAAATTAAAAAAATTAACTGCATGTAATATTCTTACGCTTTCAGAAAAATAAATCAGTACGACAAATGACGTAAAAAACGACACAACAAATGTACGTTTTCTGCTGTTGTGTTGTATGTGGAATTCGTAAAATAACGACTATATTATTATGTCTTATTATTCAGTAACGCTGTGCATCCAGCTGTTTAAGTCACTGACATCGACGATCATATTATAATAATATATTGTTATAAGTTACAACATTTGTCAACGCGCACGCCTCCGCTCCAATTTATACGTTATATCCTATATCGTAATAAGTTACTCATACATAGTCACATAGAGTTGTATATATTTGTACTTTTATAATATTATTAATTTCATATTATACATACTAATAGTAGGTATAAAATATGTACAATAATACTAAATCTACCTTCATAGCTTTTCATGTACCTAGCGTATATTTATTTTCTATCTAATTATTTTTAAATTATTTGATTTGTGAGTTTTTGAGATTGAGGAACGAGGAACGAGTCTCATCTGTATTAAATATCATATTTTGTTCAGCTGAATGATTTTGAAATGTATACTGTGAGTCTGTACATTAATTATACAGTATAGATGTATACACAGAATTTAGAAAGGAACATCCATCTGCAACTGTTTAGTGATTTGGTTTGGTTGACAATAGAAACAAAAACACGTGGGTTAGGGTTACGAGTTCAGAGTCTATGACGTAGGTACTATGTACCATCTAAACTCAGTAAACTGTAGTTCTTAACATATTCAAAACTATTGTATATTTGTATAAATACAAAACTAACCTTTTTTTTAATGGTGTTATTCGACTGTTATTCGTTAATTTATTTATCAATAGGTAACAAAAACGTCTTTATACAACCCATTATTCTCAATGCTATTTTTTCTTCACATTTGTTAATTTATGACGAACCTAAATATCTAATAATATTTTGATAAATTTTACTGTAATTTGTGTCGCACTACGTACACATAAAAAAAAAAGTAAAAATGTAACGTAAGAACCCACTGACGTCTGTCTCTGATAAACGGATGGAGCCATGGAGGCATGAATTAATTGCAACTTTTTTTTAGATTATACTTTAGTATTATTTTTCTATTTTATTTCTATGTAATTACTAATTAGTCTTTCAAATATTTATATTGCATCGGTACACTTAAAGCTATAACATGGATAGTATGTATTATATATACATACTATATGCCCTTATGGCATTAAGTCTTTACTAATTTGATGTACATCCTCTAATTTTACAATAATTGTTCACAATTTCAAAAACTTCTATATTATAATTTATAGTGTCAAAACACACATTGAAGTTATCGCTCTCTTAGAAAATGTATAAGTAGTGTTTACAGTTATTTTTCTATCAACTAATTTTTACAAGAGCAAATACACTATTTTGTTTTAAAAGCACTTGAAGTTAATTTTTTGCAAAATTCATTAAAATCACGAATACATTATGACTTCAAATATATAACATATTATGGCATATATTACAGGCATATGTAAATATGTAATAAATTTAATATTTATAAATGTTAACAATTTGAGGTAGAATGTAGATATTTATAGTTAAAACATCACAGTATCATTATACTAAATTGTGTACATCTTAAAAAATGAATTCAATCGATAACACATTAGTGAATTTATTATGAGTAGCCCGAGTAGGTAGTTAAATTGTATATTTGTTTTTATTTGAGGTAACCTTTTAGGTAATAATACATTGTTGGCCTCTTTATTAGAAAGATTAAATGACGTCTTGTGATAAATTTAGTCTATACATTTTGTTTGTAATTAAATAGTATACCTACATAAATATTATTATATTAAAATCAGTTATCTTTGAATTTTAGTAGATTAGACTAATGATTCTATATTACCCGACCTATTAATATAATATATTATAATACTAGATTCAATAGTATTGTGGAGTGTGGTTATAATAATGAGTTAAATGTTTTTTTACTTAATAAGTTACGCAAATGAAATTATATAAATAGTAGTAAAACGTTTTTAGTTCGATAAATTCAAGTTTTTTCTTCTAAATTTACATTTGAAAGTACTTTCTTTGATTCATCTTTAGAGACCCAAATAAGAATAAGCGTAGGTATAATCTACAACGTTCAAACTTAAACATTTTAATAAATCTTCAAAACCATAGTCATAACGTTACATTTCATACAAATATACAATTATACAAACAAATTGATTATCTTAATAACATTTTCAGTCGATAATTCCTCAAAGAACCGTTGTAGTTAGTTTTTAACGAGAACTGAAGAATTCGGTCTAATATTAAAACGTACGGCGCGGCGATGACCGTTTTGAGGAGCTTGTTGTATGAACACTAAACATCTCAATTAACATCGACGAAAAGTGGTGGATAAAATCTCTTTTTACTAGACGTTAAAAAATAATTTTTTTGGTCACATAATGTACAGTTATGTTTTTAAGTGTTTGGTTTTTTGTAAGTATATGTATTATCATTGTGAGAGTCATTCTTAACGCAAGGTTCGTCAGCAGTCAGCACACTTTGAATACATACTATTATGCTATAATAATACTGAGCAATTCTTTTAACAATAAACGCTCATTATTTTGAAAAGTTTAAACATATTTTAAAAAAACTAATTTTTTACATAATTTGAACTTCGTTCACAGCAATTTTTCAGGAAAAAAGATTATACTTTGTACTATTATTTATCATTAATAGTTTTAAGTTTTTACTTTTTTGTATAACACAATAATATTATATTAATTATTCTATTATTTTTTATTATTTAATTATATCTTATTCTAATATATTTTTCTAAACATTTCAATACACAAAAATTAGACATGCAGCCGATTAAATATTAATCTGAAACCACTATTACAGTTTAAATTCATACCAAATCTATTCTTTTAGCGAAAATACGGCAGAAAACATAAACTTTCTGTTATTCGTCTAACGAGTGGTTTAACTTAATGTGCTACTTGTACTTTAAATGACTTACCCATGGAAGGCGGAATGCAAACGGCCGCAATGGGTCTAGCTGTAGTCTCGCGCAGTGACGCACTGTCTGGAGCGTCGTCATCGTCTTGGTCTTCATCTTCTTCAAACAGGACGGGAGGCTGATTGATCAACTCGTAACCCCATCGCTGACGGAACTTTTTCGCCCCACCATCTAGCCGAACCCGGGGAAGATCGACGAACAGCGAATCGCCAATCTATATAGACAACGAAAAAGTTTTAATATTTTAATATAGGTAATTAAATTGTATTATAATGTGTTATGCATTTATAATTTACACAGCTATACTGAATGTATTAAAAAATAGCCATTAATCATTATTATAGTGAGAAAGCTGAGAGTGCTAGCCGCTGAGATAAAAAAACATTAATGTGATAATGTGAATATGATCACGTCGATACCTATAGGCATGACGATGTATGCGTTTTGTGCCTCTGCAGTGATTTAGTTTGATTATGGAAACAACGTATGCCTATGGTACTTATGTATTTAAGTATTTTATATTATTTAATTAATTAATTAATAATTTATCCTCATTCTTCAGTCGCTTAGCTTTTGAAATAGCGATACCATACATATTATATTACAGCGAACACCAAGACAAAAGTCTTTGAATTAACTGTGGAATGTACAATATATCATTATACCACATTTACACTGCAGAAAATATAAGTCGTCATGATGGAACGAGTATAATGTATTCATGTATTACGTATGTAGTGACTTACATCTGATATACTTTATATTGTATATACAAATAAAAATGTTCCAATACGTTAGTTGTGTAACCTGTATACTAGTTAAAATGTTGACAAAATTCGTAAAGTTGGTAAATTATTTTTTATCTTTAAAATGTTCAATTTTTCTAGTTAAAGCTTGAACAATAAATACAGTATTATATATTAGCAGTTCTTACAGAAACTTAAAAAAAAAATAAAAAAAAATTTAAAAAATCTAAATGCACAATTTTTTTTAGATTTGAAAACAAAGTTCGAAGAAAATATAAATTATATATTTAAACAAAGAATACAAGTTTTAGTTATTTTTGTTTTAATTCAAAAGTGTTCTTGGAAACTTTACATTTGTCTTACTGGACGGAATGACATTTTCAAAATGTTTAGATTAATTTTAAGCTAGTCTATTGAATCGTAGAACGCTTACCATATTACTACCGAAGTAGTAAAATAAAATACTAAAATAGCAATATAATAAACTTAGTAATATATGCTGACCGTCTTCACTCAGAATCATTAGGTATTCGTATCTGATGATTTGTCATTTAATTCATATTTAACATATCCATTACAGTTACCTGATGACAAGAATATACGAGATCACTAAATTATCTTACTGTATTATAACATAGAGGTTACTTACTAGTTAGCCATAAACTTTTTTTAAATTTTAAGTTCTAAAAAATATATATAATATGTTGTCATACTCATACAAATAATAATTAATAGTTAAAATCCTTATGAGTTAACCCTATAGCCATCATATAACCTATAGTATTGTAGTCTGTACATAGTAACATTACTCGGTGGTCAAATAATTTACAGTTATGGTCTAGTTTACTATTTTCTGATTGTTTACAATAATTTTTTCAGGAGACTTGGTAACAATCAAATCAAATGTCGTTTTAAATTAAAAAGTAATAGAGTTTTGTATTATTACACTAAAAATGTGGGAAAGTTTATACTGCTCTGCTGTATATGAGGTATTGAGTTGGTCATTGTAATGGATATGTTAAATTTGAATTCAATAATTAATCATTGCATACGAAAAACGACTCTGAGCGAAGACGGTCAGTCAGTCTATATTATTAAGTAAATTTCATGATATTATTGCTATTAAAGTAATTTATTTTGCTATCAACAATACAGTAGGTTAAATAACTTATGAACTTGTTGTCATAACTTATGATGCCGAAAAGATTTAATTTGAAATTGCCATCAAGAAATCATTATTCCCTGTTAAAGTATCTCTAATCTAGTCTACATTTGAAATGAGAATAAATAAAAAACAAAAAAAATATCCAATGTTATAAAAATTTGAAACAGAAACTCTCATATAACATTTTATAATATTTAGTTAAAACAGATTTTGTGTAATTATTTGTTTGTTGGTTCCAATGCTTTTGAAAACTACTGAAAATTTTCAATTTTAACCTTTCAAAAGTACCAACTAGATTAATAGATAACAAATCCAGTTTCATATTTTATTTAAATTCAAAATCGAATAATCGTATACTTACTACAATTTTCCACCAATATTTATTATTTTATAACAACATTTTTGACACAATTTATCAAAATCACGAAAATTTGGATAATGCTTAATTGAAAAAAATAAAAAATTTCTTCATTTTTAAAGTTAAGGATTGACAATTTAAAACAAGGGGAGGTCTTATAGGTAGTTCATACTGTAACTAAAAAATCTAAAAAATATCACGAAGAATAACGATAAAATATGTTATTTTGGGTACTTGAAACATTTAATGAACCTATATTATTATAATGTTTACACATTGTACACAATTAAACTTTCAAACATTACATTTCTAGCAAAAAATAATTCAAACTACTGTATTACTTATAGAAAAATGAAATACTTCAATAACAATAGTCAATAATATCTTAAAATATACTTAGTAATATAGGATGACACATGTCTTCACTCAGAATCGTTATTATGTTTTATCATTGAATTCAAATTTAACACATCCATTACACTACACGACATTTAATGTACAACAGAGCGCTATCCACTTGGACATATTTTTCTTGATTTACTACACAAATATAGACAGTTTTATCATATGTAACTAACTATTCAAAATATTTTCTCGTTTATCTTAGTTTAATATACTGACTATTTTTAATATTTTAAATAACGATGTGAAAATATGTAGATTTACATATAGTTGTACGTCGTAGAAAGTACTTCATCGAACCTAAAGTACTAAAAATAAATAAATTTATAAATTTTTTATAAATATAAAAATAAAACCATAATAATAACGTTACCATTACTTTTGTTAATAATTGTTTTAAATTATGCTACACTCAGTGGTCAGTAGTTAGTACATTTATTCTTTTAAGTCCATTAAGTTAAACAACGAAAATATGTATTAAATATTATTTGACGAGTTTCTTTATACTTAAATATATTATAACAGTTTTGTTTAGTATAAAAAAGAGGATAATAGTCGTTTTTTAACGATGAAATGTGTTTTATCTCAAACAAATGCAGATACATACGAATGCTATATTATAAAATGTAATGAATGTAAAATAAAATATTATTCTTAATTATAGTTATTACTATCGTATTCATCAAATTGTTCAGCTTCATTGGCCACCTTTGGAACTAATGGTTGGCTCATATCTTCATCACTTAATACATTTGATTGAAATTTTGCAGAAATATTGTCTATGGTCGTAAACTGACGGTTCATTTCTTGTTCTCTAAATTTCAGGTAATTCTCTAATACTCCCATTATTTTTAATCGCATATCTCTATCGTATACAGAATCAGAATTTAGAGGATTTCGTTTAAAAGCTGTGGTTGTTTCCTGAGAAGTCGTAAATGTTGATTCGTCGCCTTCAGTCTGGGTTTCTTCTGTTGTGATAGAATTCGATTCGTCTTCTGTTGTAATAGAATTCGATTCGTCTTCTGTTGTAATATAATTTGATTCGTCTTCTGTTGTAATAGAATTTGATTCGTCTTCTGTGGTAAAAGAATTCGATTCGTCTTCTGTTGTAATAGAATCAAACACCAGAGAGTTCAATTCATCTTCAGTCTGAGTTTCTTCTGTAGTTATAGAATTTGATTTGTCTTCAGTTAGATTTTCTTCTACTATTAAATTCGATTCGATTTCGTTTGTAATCGGGGTATCTTCAAACACCGGAGAGTTCGATTCGTCTTCAGTCTGGGTTTCTTCTGTAGTTATAGAATTTGATTTGTCTTCAGTTAGGTTTTCTTCGAGCACCAGTATGTTCGATTGATCCACAGTCTGAGATTCTTCTGAATTAAAGGGATTCAATTCATCTTTAGTCGGGGTTTCTTGTGTAATTTCATAATTTGATTCATCTTTGACCAAATTTTTTACCTCGTTTTGATTTTCACTTAATAGTTTTACGAATAAAAAATCATATGGATTTTTTGTAGTCGTGGGGGTTGGTTCGTGTTCTAACGTTTCAGGCGATAGTTTTACTATTGTTACAGAATCCGACGGGTACGGAGATTTGTATGTTGGGAATCCGTAGCCGAAGACAGATGTCTTTCTGATAGCTACTAGGTTTATGGGAATGCTTCTTTCTGTTGTTGATGGATTTGTTAGATATTTGTTCAATGGGGAACCTAGGTATTTGTAATCATAGCTATCTTCCGGAAATAAACTAGGAATGTCCTGCCGGGTCATATATTCCGAATCGTAGAGAGAATTCTTTGAATTATATGAATGAGTTCTTGGAACCGAATTCACTTCATGGGTAGACATTTTGACATGCTCATATATCGGTTTGTACTCGTTGATTCTGGAATCCACTGCCTCGCTTAATCCATCTAAGTCGTTGATTGACGGCTCTATTGGATTCTGTAATGAAATCAACACGAATATTGTTTACATTGCAAGACTAATTAATATATAATTCTGGGGCTTGGATCAAAAAGGAGCAATCTCAATTTTAATCACTTTTGGGAAATTAAGAATAAAACACATTTTTATGGCCTTTTTTGATATTGCAACAGTAACTAGAAAGTGTATAAAATGTTAAATGATTGGTCATATTACTTATTTTATCAAAAAAGTGAGATTGGCCCTTTTTGACCCAAGTCTCAGTATTATTTAGTAGGAAAGAATACTTACGTAATGATATCCATAAGGATATTGGAGTCCTATAGATCTTTGCCGCCTTTCCATCAACTAAAAATAAATGAAAAACAGATACAAAATTATAATAAATCTACCTATTTATTTTCTACGAATATTATATTATGTTCTAAACAATTACCTGATTAAATGCCTGGCTTCTTGGATTATAAAAAGTTGCGTCAACAATTCCGCAAACAATTAACAGACCGGAAGCAATAAGGAGATGCATTATCACAAACTAATTTTACTGTGGAAAAAAACATATATTCATTATTATTTATTTAATTGCCTAACAAAAATTCGCTATAGATAATACACGGGTAGACCTAATATAGAAAATCTACAGTTAATTTATAAATTTATGGTTAACATTTTTATTTTTACTAAATACAAATGAAAGCTATTCAATCTTACAAAATTGTACACATTTTAATTTAGATACAATATTTTGATAAATCAATATTATTGTTTAATTCAAATGTACCTATGGCGTGTAATACAAAACATCCAATTGTTAATTTATTGGTGCACTTAGTGTTTTGAATTATATCGATAATTATATGAAAAAATAATATAATATAAATATTTTTATGATTGTAATAAAACAAAATTAAAAAAATTATTCAATCAACAAATTAGTATCCATTTTTCTCTTTACGATGTATCATTTTATACAAGTAGGTATGTATCATATATATTGCCATTGTTTGCACTTTTTTATGAACTATCATAATATGCTCATTTGGATGATAATCAGAGTTTTTCATTAGTTAATGCATTTGAATAACAAAGCTGCGAAAGTATTAGAAAATTACAATTTTTATGATTCATTTTTTATCTATTTGAAAACCAAATTGTTAATAAGAAAATGTCGATTTAAAAAAGTTATTAAAACATCCGAATATTACTAAATATTCATAAACTTCGAGCAATAAAAAATAACAATTTATTGCACCAACTGTTCTTTAAGTAATGTTTTTTTTAAAGTTATAGGATATTCAATTGTATGTGTTTACTAAACAATGCAGAGTTGAATTAATGCGCAAAAAATCAATTAAATATGCATTCACTTATGTAGATACTGGATACACAAAAACAAGAAAATACTTACTTGTAAATCATAAAAATGAATTTAATATGAAAACATTCAAAATTATGAATATAATTAATATAATATAAGCTATAGCTTGGGGAGTAGTGTCTTAATAATATATGATGTATAAATAGTGTGCGTAAAATATTAAAAGTTTACAATGTACAAATGTAAATAATAATAAATTAGTTAACAAATGTGCCTATAATATGAGGAGAAAAAATAACCTTATTAATGAATGTATATGCGAGATAAAAATAAAAGTTTTTTATAAAGATCAATTATATTCTCCATAAATATGCAATTATAAAAAATACATACTATATAATATATATTATCAAATACACTAAAGTCTAATATATGCAAAATTAAATTTATTAACTAGAATGGTAATGTCTTGAAAAAATGTTTAATCCACATTTAACTATCCGAAAGTTATTCAGCAACCGGGTATTTTATTAGTATCTATTATATTTAATATATTATCAAATCTATGTAATTATGTATAATATATATAATCTATGTATTATTTATCCCTCTACGTTTTTGGGCCTCAGCCCGTATTGTAATATAAATGAAAACGATTTTGTTATTGGTTCGGGTAGATTTCATCATAGATAAGTTTTGTAGAGTCATAATTCTACGTAGTAATATTAATTTTATAAACAAAATTAGCAAAAAGTTATGCAGAAATAATTTAAGGAGACAATATTAAAATTAACAATCTTTTAAAACAATAACATTTTTTATAAAAAAATGAATCATTATTTAATTGTATACAGTAGTTTTGAGACTAATACTTAGTACCTACCTACTTTAATACTTAGCAAAACTGTTTTAATTTACTTCCAATTAAAATTGAAAATAATTGAGGAGAATTATAGTTATTTAAAAAAAATGTTAGATCAATTTTTTGAAAATTGATACTATAGATTAATAAGATAAATAAAACTTGACTTACCTGAAAACCAATACTTCAAGACAATTATATTATACTGTTGTTTTGATAGATTTATCCAATAGTTCACAACAGGACGGTAGTTTTATATCAACTGATCAATAACCGCAGAAGTTTCCACGGTTAAATAGTACTGAAAATTAATATTTGTGTGATAAAATTGATCTGTATATTAATCTCGATGACCCTTGATCGGATGATTGATGAATTCGTAAAATTACAATCTCGGATGCTTATACATTATACATGTATATTCTAGTATAATATGACCGTCAAAACGTTCAAATGATAACGAAACATCGTTATTTTGAACCACTTACTAGTATCACATTCGCCAGTCTTTTAATGTTAAACATCGTATTATATTATTAAACTGTATGATTATTGTATTGTTTTTGTGACATTTTATTGTACATGATCAAAATACTCATTACCCGATATTACAATCTGCGTTGGAAAGGGGAAAAGCGTTTGGTTAAACTTGGAGTACACATTTTACTACCACGAAATAAATTATTATCTATAAAATGTTTAACAAACGTGAATTCGTGATAATATTAATAGCTTCGCTAATTATTATTATTTATAATACTTATCACAATGTCTATGATTTTTTTTTTAAAACTGCAGTTTCACGAATTTACGATTGTTTTATCTTTTATGATCCAAGAATAATAAACCAATATTTACAATAACTGTTTTTACCGATGTTAATTATTTTAACGCAAATATTATTTAGAAACGATAAAGTGTTATCTACAATGGTATATATAAAATTAAACAATATTGAAAAATTTACTTAATTACTTACTTGATTTGTTATTCATTAATCGCATTGAGTCGTAGAGACAACGAAATGAAAAATATGTAAATTATAAATAGATAAAAAATATTAATCATTCGAGTAACTGTTACCTACTATTTAATCAAAACAACAAACAACATGTTTGTCAGTAATTACTACTCAGTAGATGAACAAGTATTGCTCGATAGTCCGAAAGTAACTTGTTACTTGTTGTAGGTTAAGAATGAGATTCTCTCTGCCATACACCACATTCTTTAAGGTGCACGATTAAAATTAGGTCCCTACTTAATAAATTAATTGAATTATATACTGATTGTGTAATTAACTACTTGAAGGGAAGTAATGCTAATGCGGTTCCCCTTCATGTGGCAGTTATTCATCATAAAAAAGGCATATTACTACTATGGTTTATCGATCACCTGAATAATTAATAATTAATTATCGCTTTCATAATAGTGATAAAACCATCCTAAATATAAAATGCAAATATCAAAACAATTAAAATATTATGTGGTAGTTAAACATTGAAAACGTGCAATAAAATGGTTTTTAGTTTTAAGTTGATCCTAAATTATTTCTTTATTCTGACAGTCTATACACACTTCTGAGTTACATAGACAGTGCTATTTTATATTTACAAACATTATCTATAAATTACTCATTGTGTAAAAATAGAAACAGATAAATAAAATATCCTTCCATTCTACATTATGCAGTTATTTGCAAATTAAAATAATAATTTTTTCCATTTTTCATTTTATAACAAACCTATTATTATATATAATACACAAGTTATTATTATTATTATGATAAGGTTATTTAGATATATTTGAATTTGAAATCTACTAATTTATTGAATTAATTTAACGATTAGCGTTGTTTTTTAGAAATTTGATACATTTTTTTTACACCTAATATTATTGTAATTTTTTTTTTTAATTCATCGCACTTGTAAATATTTTAAAATTATCAAATAAAATAGTTTATACAAGTACTTTAATCTTCTAGGGCGAGCTAAATAAAAAAAGTTAGAGGCTGTGAATGTACTGTGTCGAACCAGTTCGGACCACCTGTTTTAAGTTATAAATTATTCGGTAAAATATGCACTAGCTCTCGGTCCTGAATCATAATACAACAATTTCGATACAAAGTTGGAACTTTAAAAGTTTCTTCTCAATATTATAGACAATAATACAATAGGTAGTTTAAAGTGCTAATACATAGTGCTGTTTCAAGTTAATGTTATAAATTATGATTGTTCTGGAAGTAATCAATGTATTGAGATACCAGTCATACCAGTATACCGCAGTTGGACCAGACCCATCTTGAACTGTGATTGTATTGGTAGTGGGTGGACGGAGGTGACACCAATATTGATGATGAAATATTGAATGTCTCTGTTTAATGGTTATGCATAATATATTTTAACACTAGTCAAACATGGGCATATGAAAACATTTAACACTCAAGATTAAAGACAATTATATACATGTCACAAATAAGCTTGGGTCCTATCCAGAATAATAAGTCACTGGCGACTTATTATTTCGAATGACACAAAAAACAACTAACACACGACTCGTCCGGTGTAGGGTGTGGTCGTGTGGACTTGCAAATCCTGCACATGGCTGGCTTACCCCAACCGCGACGCCTTTGCGAGCTTATGTCCGTTCTAAGTAGGTACCCATACAAATAGGCTGCCACGGACTGGTGGTTGTAGAGAAAATATTGAAATCAGGTCGGTGATGACTGGTGAACGGACTGGTTTGATGACAAAAAACTACAATCCGGGACCGAATCAAATTAAGCACTAACTACTAAAAGAGTTCGGTCATTTTATGACGCAATGTGTAGGTATCTATATCAGCATGCTTTGTTTGATGTCTGATTATTTATAAATATTTGTAAAATATGAATCAATACTTCAAACTGAAATGTTTGTAATGATCGGTTTGTGATATTCAAGTTATCACACCATTTTCACTTTTTGGTGTACACGACAGTACATAATAGTATATAATATGTACCTACATTGTACAATTCATTTTAAAATATTGGTACATTGTTATAATTCTACAGGCTTATGTAACTGTTTGTATAACTAAAATGGAGACAATATAAATATTTCTATTGTTGAATCACAAGTAAATGTCATATTATAATCAACCTTATGTTTATTTCTAAATATTGTATTATACTGTGATTGATTGTGTTGTATTTTTTTATAACTTTGATGAAATTGTTTATTATATATTAATATTATACAATATACTATATTATGTAGTAATATACTAATAATATGAAGTATCTATGCGGTCATTATATGCATACGTTAAATATATTAAATATACAAAAATTACGTCTCCAATCTGTATGTTAAATGTTAAGTACTAAAATGTATTAAAAATTGTTATTATATAAGCATAAATTAATTTTAAAAAAATACTTAAATAATTATTAGAAGCACAAGCATTGTAAATAGCCACGATAAAAGCAATTACTTCCACACAGCCAAACAAATATTATGTAGGTAGGTAGTCAGAGATTTCGTGTTTACTATAAACTACGAGAATTCTATTTCATTGTTTTATACTATAATTCATACCTATAGTATATTACATTAATGCCATGCTATCTTCTAAGTTGTAAATAGGGCTAGAATTTATATGCAATTTAAAATAGTAAAATATGTGTTTAATTTTATTTAAACATGCTAAAATATGCGATAAAATTATCTAGTTAATTTACCAATAAATTCCAAACTATCATTAAGTGAAAGGAAAGAAATACACAAAAAAATAAATTGAATAAAATAATTTTATGTGTAGGCGACATCATTTTTTTTTTAATTAGGATGACGTGGCATCTAACCTTTTGCCTATTTTTGTAACAAATTATTATAATTATTAATATATTATATAGTCGTCACATTTTGATCTTGGGCGTCGGACAAAATCCATTCCAATCCCCCTTAAAAATAAACCCTATATATAGAATACCAAATATTTGCAAAAATATGCAAAGAACTAAGTAATTTGTATAAATACTAGACAATTTGACTATCCAAATATTTAAAAGGACGTTGCAAAATACCATACCAAATAAATGCATAAAAAACATAGCCCTAAATATTAAATATTAATTTATCGGCATATTTTGTAAACGTTACTATAAATTTATCTCGGACTAGGTACCTTAAAAAGAAAACTATAGATACATTCTATTATTTCCATAAGCACCAACCTTAAAAGCGTGCGTTATTGTCCTTAGCGCAGTCCCAGGGAATATCTAAGAAATAAAATAGGAAATTTATTAAAAATGTACATCGGATAAAATATTATATTTTACATAATATACATAATTTAATTTAAATTGTTAGTAAGAGACTGAACATATATTTGAATTGTAATAAAATAAAAAGTATTTACGGATAATTCCTCGCTTCTATATGCAGTTAATGTCTGTTCGTCTTGCAGTAGAACACAAAAGTACGGTTCCCAGGTGACAAAGTTCAATTTTTTGTCCTTGACAACATTGGCTGGCCGATGACCAATCTGTAGATCACGATCTGCAATCAAAATATTAATTAAATATTATTACTAATTTAAAACATTATATAAAATATAGATGGGAGATAGAAATAATAATATGATCATGAGAAAATATTTTAAACGTTTATTATTTGTTATTGTTTGATTCAATATATAAAGCATATATTATCATTAAAACTTCGTTCTAAATATGATTCCATTCCCAAGTAAGCCACAAAACAATAAACATATTTTATTGTAAATTCCACAACAAATATTATTTTTTCTTATTATTTTACGTTTTGTGCAAACAATAAGTTTATGGTAGCAAACTTTTTTTGTATCAATATTTATTTTAAAAATCCATTTATATATAATAACTAGCATTTTGTAAAATTGAGTTTAAAATGAATGACGTGTTCATTGAAAACCATGTTTATAAATTTATTTATTACGTATCGTTGTTTTTCGGTACATGGATGACAATCATTCCGAAAACGCATACGGTAATGAAAATTCAAATTTAATTTGAAATTTAAAAAAAAACATACAATATATTCTTAATTTATAATCTATAACAGATTATAGATTATAATACCTATAACTCAATTGAATCATTTATCAGTGTATCACCGTATCGGACGTTTTCGGTCGATTAATTATATCATAATAATTAATTAATTTTTAAAGTATTATATTACAGGTGAAATATAAATAATTATTTGTTTTGAGCACAGGTCATAGCGTGCACAATTTCATTGTTATGGTGTTTAACCGTCGTTGCCAACCAAATAGATTACGTAATGAAACCTTGGAAGATGGAAGATACTGAGGTGAAAAAAAATATATCACGTAAATACGTAATTAGTTTTAGATTATATGGCAGAAGAGATAATTAAAACTAAATTGATACATTGTCCCTATAGTCTGTATATGATTTAGGGTGATGTGTTTCTTTCCTTCTTTTATTCTTAGTTTTATATATAGTATATAAAGGCATTTTTTTGGTGTATAGCTCGTACTTCAAGAAATACCTTAGTACAACATTGGAAATATTAACGATACCGAATCTAGAGCCGGTCCAAGTGGACATTCCCCTTCGAAAATCCATTAACCTTAGTAGATACGTTTAGTCGTTTTTCGTCTATTAAATCGATTATTAGCAATTAGTTGCCAAAGTTTAATATGCTTATTAAGTAATAACAGTTAACCAATAATTCCATAATGACATCGTTATACATTGGTAACAATAATAGTGATGTTACTAATATATTGTAAGTGTTGAATCTTGTTAATACCCTTAAGACCTTGAACCTGATGTAAGAATTTTGAAAAGAACTATGTAAATGTTATGTTTTATGTTGATAAAGGGGTGGTAGGCAACCCATCTTTCATTATTTTATGTTTGTATGTGTTCAAAAATTTAGACATTTTCAAAAAATCATTAAAAAGTCCCTCTTGCAGAATAATTTTCAGGACTTTATACGATAGTATCTAATAATGGTTTAGCTGTATAGGTAATAATAATGTTATACAAGCTTGGGCCTTGGAGATGAGAAAATGTTTTACGTTAAATTCCATATAAGCTGTAGCCGTACATTATCCGTATCCTGTCCAAGCTCTACTTAAGTTTTTACTGTTATTTCGTATTTTTATCGAATAATGATTTCAGAAAACCAAACAAGACATGGCTTTCGAAAAAATAATACATTTTGATTTTTGGACCTACAATGCGATATGCTTACTTAGTTGTTTGTTTCCGCTGATCGGCAGAAAAATAGAAGTATCTACGACGCTGCCGCCACCGGAAACGTCAACAAGTATAAACGGATATAAAATCCACGAGTCATTGGAAAATTAATGGAGTGTATGAAATTTTTCTAAAATATGTCTGCAGATACGTGGAGAGTCGTAATCGTATTTGTATTAGTCGTCGGAAACCTAGTGCCGGCGTGCTTTTCCTACAACTTTCCGGGTATTCAAAAGAAAGCCGGTTCCGAGTACAACCTACTCTTTCAAGTCGGTTGAAAATCGTACCAGAAAAATGAATTTGTTTAATGACTGTTATACCAGTTATTTATTCGGTGATTTAGGATTTTTGTAAATTGGGAATACTGACTGTAGACCTTCAGTTTGCTTGGTTTTGTTGGAGTCTCGAAGACGGATTTTTAAGACTAAACAAAGTCTTGCAGAAGATGACGATTTCGCCTGAGATGCCGACCTGGGCAATGATCATGGCGAGCAATAATTATAATCACAGGTGTAAGTATACCATGGGGAATAAACATGATATATACAGTGGTCGCCGCTTATTGGACTCACGGTTAATTGACTCATTCGCATATTAGACTCAAAACGGTTGGTCCCGATTCGCACGGTTAGGTTAGGTTAGGTTTTTGAGTCATTCGCCTTATTGACTCATTCGGTTAATTGACTCAAATTGTCGGGTCCCAAAGTGAGTCCAATAAGCGGCGACTACTGTATATCGATAAAACAGTATAATTGTATACTAATACATTAAGTCACGGTCGCTCGCAGTGGGGAGTGTATGGTATCTTTTGACATTTCGCAATATCGAGGCCCTAAAAGTCAAGCCCATTAATCTGGGACCCGTATTTCATCGGTTGTTACTAAATGCAATTTTCTTTTCTCAAGTAAGTGATAAAGACCCGGTATCTTATATCTTTAAATGATTTTTAATTTAAAAAATAGCCATTCGTTCAATACTCGATGGACTGTTCATTTTAAACATCAAGATTTTCCAAAAAATATTCTACTTCACAGTGTGAAATTAAAAACATGATATGCAGGTTGCCTCGCGTTAAAAAAAAATCAAATCCTGAGTCCACCCGTACGGAACCTTCACTCATAATATCATGACAATATCGTATTATTTTTGGCAGACGACGTCTACCGGGTGGAAGTGGAGTACGGAAAACTGATGCACGGCGTGACCCTAGCGTGCAGCGTCTGCGAGGAACGCGTCCTGATAAACGCTCTGTGTTACATGTTCAACACGATTTGTGGTCTGTTCGACACAATTTCGGCTTATAGGACTCGAGGGGCACCTCTTCTCCTGGCCATCATGCACCTTTCGTGGGTGTTGAACTGCGCCGGTAGAATAGCTCTGGTGTGTTTCGCAGCCTCTTCGGTCGTCGACCAGGTATATATGGGTACTTTTGCTGTCTGTTTATATATATTATGTGCTGTCTATGGATATAGTATGTAGGTGCCATTAATATCTATTATTTAATAATATATGTTCCGAGGCTGAGTGTCTTTTCACCGTATTGGTCCTGAACCTTGCATATGCGCGCAACAATATTATATTTTATCGCTCGATGGACATTTCAAATTAATAGCTTTTAGGACATTATTATATTTATTATTGTACATAAATTGTAACTCATAATACATCAAAATATCGTTAAATTAAACACAGAACCTACATTTTTTAATTTGATTTTCTGTATAATAAATAGGTATTAGTTAAGCTAGGCGTTGATTTAAAAAAAAAAAAACCAGTCATTTCAACTACATCTAAATTGATTGTTTTATTATTATACAATATTATTTTAAAATCGAGTTTATCGGAATACCAAAGGAAAATAGGTTTCATAATCGATGATGATATTTTGATGCTTCGATGGTGTTGAAATATAAGAAATATATTTTACACGTGTTTGTTGTTAGTAGTACTTAGTATAGGAAATAAAGCCACTAATACGTATAAATATATTAAACTGGTATTTACTTTAGAAACTATTTTTTAAACTTCTTTAAAGTTCTAATCAAATTATGGGTATAACTGGTTTAAGAATACCTATAACTTAATAAATAAAGTTAATATTTTGAACAATTCTTCTTTCTGGAAAAGTTTGACTAACCGGCTACGTAAAAGTCAGAAGCTGTTAAAAGTTACTGGCCCAGGATCTCTATATGTATATATTATATTATACTTGGTTATTTGGGGTTGAGTGTGTCGTGTGTCACGTGTATCATTTAATGTGTGTGTTTTTAGCCTGCAGCGCGAACTAATATAAAATAGTCTGTGTAAAGAGAATTTATAATGATGTTTATCTATACTGCACTGCAGGACGATCGTCTACACGACTTGGCTCAGATCGCAAGAGAAACGTTAGGCGTAAACGGTGACTGTTGGGAGGTACGTAATACGATTTTATACATAATGTATAAAATATACATATTTCCAAATTATTGCATGCATACCAATCTCTGTAAATGCTCGGGTGACGAATTTTCTTTAGCCAAATTGTTCTTAATGTTTTTGTAATCTAATGATTATTGTTTTATCCTCCAAAAACAGTACAAAGTGTAACACACTGTGTCAACTTTATCGACTTATGGGGCCTTTTGCTCAGCTAGGGCAGTGTATATATTATTATCTAATATCTATAATAATAAGCGTGTCAATCGTTTCAGATGAAACGATTATCTCGGCGTCTGAGACATAGCAAAGTGAAATTCGACATCTGTGGTATGGTGACGGTGGACAAGACGCTTTTATCATCGGTAAGGAAAATTATAGACTAAACAACACATAGAAATCAAAAAAATATACAATTCTGCGGTTGGCTAAATACAATAATAGGTATTTTAAAATTCGTTTGTTTTCAAAATATGGTCTGTTTCCAGGCAGTGATCAGTGTAATTTCGTATTTGGTGATCGTGTTGCAGTACAACTACAGTTAAACCAAATCTCAGCGAATCGGTTTAATTTTAACAATAGCGTATATCCGCGGCCACAACACGTATATTATGATACATTAAATGTACAATATGTCTCTTAAATCCCAATTACGTTGCTATTATACAAGCCGAGTTCATCATTATCCTAATATTGTTTAAACATATTATACTTGACATCCTTGTCATGACTTGAACAGGTACACGCTGAACCACTAACACTAATAGACGGATGGATAAACGGCGATTAATACATATATACATTATATTCTGATATATTGCCGTGTACGATAATAATTGTAATTTTATTAACTTTTCATTTGTGTACCATAGGTACCCATTACCCTGTATAGTTACACAATTCAATAGTATACTAAAGTATAGTTTGAAATATTCAAAATTGTATACAACAACACAAATAAAAGATTTCTTTCAAGGATCGTGTTGTTTTTTTTCTTGTGGTTGTCAACTAAAAAATTATTTGAGAATAAGCTTTACAAAAAAGGCTGTCATAATACCACTTAGGTATATAGCATATAGCATATATTACACAATAATGTATGAATAGAACCTTAATTTTTCACCATGGCACAGTGTTCAGCCACCAGGTGTGTATAAAGCCGGTATATTTCTACTTAATATAAACATACAATTTCTATATAATATAGTATATTATTATATTATATTATACTATTATATTATATACTACTGGCTGATCCTCCACAGCGGTTCCCGTGACAAATCAAATAATGCCAGTGGATTAACCCTGTTACTTTGTTATGTGTAAGCTATACACGTATTTTTAACGGTAATTTGGTTAGTTTTGACCAAATATAAATAAAATTATATAAAATGATAATAATTAGGTATAATAACTATTTCATTTTCTGAAACCAATGGCAATCCTTTACGAACAAAACAATATGCGTTTTTCGTGAGCCAAAAATACCTGTGTGCAGAGGCGTATTTAGAAATAAATAATAATAGGGGGAGGGGCTCAAAAATACACTTAAAAACAGACAATATATTTTTTTAACAAATATTATTTGGTTTTGGGCTGAATACACAATTAAATGTTTCTGACCGATTTTTCGTAAGGTTTTCGTTGTCATGGTTACTATTAATAACAAAAACATATTTATGATTCATGATGGATATTCCTTGTATAGGAAAAATATCATCGGGTAAAGCTCTATGGTTTTTCATCGCAGTTTAAGAAAATTGGATTACCTAGATATCCACGATAATCACATAGGTGTTTTGTATTTACATCAAGTAGTTTATGAGCCCATCAAGCTTGTTTTTCCACCCCGTTGTATTGTGGTAATGTGGTATAACGATTAACGATTCAATACGAATATTGAAATATACTAGTCCTTATATTTTTATCTTATTAGTTCGTGGTACATCGTACGTATTTTAATACTTACTACTTAAGACAATGCGCACAATGCACATTGACACATGTCACATAATATTATTCATCCGTACAATGAATAAACAGATAACGAATACCACCGTGGCGGTCACGCGAAGGACTGAGTTGAAAAGTAAGATATACATAGTACAAATGCTGGTTAACACCACACAGAAGCAAATATATAACATTAAATGTTTGTTATAATGATTAAATGACCTACGACCTACGTTAAATTTGTAAGTTATCAACATACACGACCGAGTAGGGCGTAGGTAAACACATTTTTCTAGTTTGAATTGAGTTATTTTGATCTTCGAGACGTATTCAGAACATGACTTATGTGTTAAGAAAAATAATATATTTTATGATATAGGTAGTATAGGACAAGTATGTCTTTAAAATATGTAATAAATTCAGCTATTATAATGAGCGTGTAATTGCGGTTTTAACCTCAGATCACACGTACTGCACGTATCCACTATATATTATCATAATTCATAACAAATAAATCGAACAGAATACATTTTTACACTATTAATCCCATGAAAAAAATCAAAAGCGTAGACTATTTATAGTGTGATTTTCAAATTTTCAACATAATATATACCAGTATATACTTATAGCACGTATAAAATACAGAAATATTGTTCCGCGTTACCACCTACAGAGTGGCCGAGTATATAATACACTTAATTGAGCTTCTCCTAACCCGTGACCTACACATTTCAATTTGACCATAATGGCATAATATGATACCGATATAAATTTAATGTGAAATTGATATTACTTTTATTGTTAATCGGCAAATAATTGAATTACAATCGTTCTAAAAGCCATGTTCGTTGGCTTAATATTGTGTGTTTCCTATAATATTATAAAAGTGCCAAACGATATGGTATTATGGGGGAAATTTTATGTTTAAAAAACGTTTACAACTTTGGTAACTTAATATTGTTACATTAATGAGTATTCAAATAACATAAACTAATTTTAATGTATTACCTATATATTCGGTTTTTTATTCATATATTATCCCAAACAACCTATTATAATATTGTGCCCGAGTCAAACAAGCAGTATGAATTACAGATAATATGGTTGGTTGATTTAAAATTTAAAAATAAATAAATTCACCTTTGTGAGTTTAATACGGAGAAAATATACTTAGAAAATATACTTTTTACATGCTAGTTGAATTAAAAATGTATTGTTCTTTATAAGATTCGTTCTATGAGTATCCGCATATTGTTAATTTGTAATAATTACTAATACCTTATTAGTAATTATTACAATAATTAATCATTTAATAACAAGTTATAAATGTATTAGAAGAATAATATATGTAATAAATTTAATTCTTGTATGTAGTAGGTTCTGTATAATATTATTATGATCTATTCAAATGATGGATTATATTATGATTGATTATAATAATAATTATTATTATTTAAATACTAGTACCTATTTATAATCAATGTAAGACAATTCAGTTTAGTTTATTATAACTTTAATTTCATACACATACACACTATGGGTACCTATGTATTATTACTAATAAAAAAAACCAGTAAATGTTTAGGTTAAGTTTATTTCTGACCTATTTAAGTCCAAAGATTAAGTTACAATATTGTGTACACAATAATAAATAATAATACAGTTAACACATATTTGATAACTAGTAAGTCATGACTCATGATCATCAAAAAGCCGTGCTACACGTCATAATATAGATACCATTTTACCAATGTCAAAAAGATGTTTTTACTAACAATACTACTGTAGAGTTATCAGTTGTACACACAAACATTTAAACAAGTCGAAAGTTTATTGATCCAAAAATGTATTTCTCGTAAGTAATAACTATTGTTAGGTCTTTATAGTCTAATATAACTGAAAACAACAACAGGCAATCACAATATTATGGATAGTGGCTATACCCATATTATACATAAGCCAAAGTCACAATCGTAGTTGCTGTTAGTAGGTGCCTCCGAAATAAACTACCTACGTCCAGAATAAATAAAAGCAGCGAAAATAATTCATTTCGGTTTTGAACGGTAACATGAAAGTCGATTCATACATTGTGTTCAAGAGTTTTTCTGTACCTTATTACTATTCAATATTGTTTGGATGGATGCCCATTCGTATACCAAAGAATGACAGCGAAATGGTATTTCATATTTATATCTATTGTATATATTTTATAATAATTATTAAAATAAATAAAAAATGTATTTTAGATCAGAGTTGGTCATTACTTTAATTATTATTTATATACTAAAAAAACTAACAAGATTTATTACATAGCCATGTAATTTTATTTAGGAAAACAAGAGTTTGTGGTGTATACCCGGATTAATCTTTTCGTTGAGTTACATTATACTACTTATAGTCTCCGGAAGCACTACTCGGGAATTAAGGAATGCAATCAAGTACCAAGGAAATAGAACTTTGAGCAATGTAAATAAATCAGATATTATAATAATATAGTATATAATATTACAATAATCTAAAAAATCAGACATTAGTAGCATTATTTATTATTTACTTCGAAGGGTAGTAAACAGCTAACACAGTTTCCTTTCGTGGTAGCGATATCACATACAAAAAAATAAGTTATAATTAATCATAAAATATATTTTCAATTTTAGCTAACGATTCATGATCGTATACAGATTGTAGTGGGGCCTATGTTCATAATATCTCTGTGGTTGAATCAAACGATTATGATCATCATACACATATCGATGCCATTCCATTTAAAAGGATTAAGAAAAGTTTTCGAGCTCTTCAATGCATGTGTCAAGTGCCATGGCTCGATTATAGGTGTGTTTAATATTGTTAAAACCATTACGTTGATTAAGTGTAAAAACCTAAATATATTGAAGTGTAATGTGAACCTACATGTAATACATAGTTGATTTAAACCATGATAGTATTTGGCTGATTTTTAGGAGACAAGAACACGATTAACATGATTGCACACAAAACTAACATTGAATCCATCATGATGATTATAATGAACACAGTCTTGTCAATCGTATCGGTTACGACGAGTTTCAATAGAATAAGACTGTCATTTGCTTGGAAGCTCTTCATTTTGATCGTAGGTACCTAAGGCTACTGACTAGTATTTCCCAAACCAATGTGAATCAGGAACCAACTTTGGGTTGCTCAATTTTTTGTTGATAGGTCACAACGATCATATTACAAGATTAAAAGATAACATTATGTGACTATAACTAAAACCTATTACAGTACATTGTACAACAACATAACTATAGACTTTTTTTTTATTGGTCGCCTGGCAGAAGAATGGTTTAATAGTAGGTCACCATATTATTAAAAAAAAAGGTTGTGAAACACTGGTTTAGCCTATAACCTATATTCTATAACTATAATAACGCTAAAATTAAAACTATAATTTTTTCCACCAACATTTTACACTAGTTTTGTTTCCATGTACCAAAATATTCATTGCAAACTATAACGATATAGTACAATACATAATATACTGAAGTTTTCAATTTTCATTTTCTACACTTTATTGCTGTTGATTTTTGATGTTTTTATTTAGGACAGTGTCATTCATAAACTGGCGGCGATTTCGTTATGTATCCAATTCTGGTGTATTTGTTCAGTATTAGCAAAATGCTTTAAGTATCTCAACGTATCTCTGGACAGACTTCGAGTCCGAAAAAATCAGGGTGAGTAAAAATCGTGTTGAATGTATATAAAAATACTGTAGACATCAAATTGTATTAATTTTAATTTTGGAGAGGATTTCAGTGACGATACGCCCTCCGGGTTTATTCACGATGTCAGACCGGTTGACGCTGCCGACCAATATGGTAACGCACATACGGAAGTTAAACCGAGCACACACTGACCTCTGTTCCATCCTCGATCGAACAAACAGCGTTTATCAGGTATCTGTGGTATCGCTACATAAATCCGAACAACATAACTGATACTGTAATAAATAATAATAGTATACGATTTACGTTATATGTTATTTTTAACAGGTGTGTTTTGACATTTTTCATATACGACTTATTGTTATATGTATTAAATATGATATGATATTTCGTTTGTATGGCATATATTTATACGTGTATTAATCTGCCCAAGGTGCTGATCCTTTTGAGCATCATCACTTGCGTACTGAGCATGCTGCCCCATTTGTTCGTTTTAGGCATCATCATGGCATATTCAAATTTTAAAATCACACCACAACTGTCCATGGTCATATGGCCACTGCACTACATGATAAGGGTGTATATCGTATGTAAAGCCGCTTCATTCGCGTCCAACGAAGTAAGTACACGTTATGGCTTATAGTTTTATTTGTCTACACCTAGGCACCTATACTTAAAAGTTAAAATATATATCCCTATTTTATGAGAACTACGTAAGCGGTTTGTGTTTTGTTTCATATATTCGCTGTTGTACATATCAGGCCAGGCGAACGAAAACTATTCTCAATGCTGCATTTCACAAACGTTTGACAGACGACGAAAAAAATGGAGTTGAGTATTTAAATTATTATTATTTTGATTATTATTGGTTGCAGTATAATTAAAATAAACTATCATTCGTCTATAAAAGATATAAGAATGCATTAATACATTTTCAAAGTGTAGGGCATAATTTAATTTTAATATCTACACCTAGATTAACCTAAAAAAAAATTATAATATTATCTTGTTACTTGGCCATTTAAGTGGACAATCGATAAAATCGATATGCATATGTTTTACATAAAATTACTTTCTTAACGGAAATTATGCGAAACGGATATAAGAAATATAAAAGAAAACTAGTTCATCCTACGTTAAATTTGACCATGGATATTACCACTTATTAGTTATTGACTACCGATTAAGTATACATACTTGCCATAATGATTATTATTATTACTATTCTATTGAGCCAAATTATAGGTATAAACATAAATTATTATACTTCGAAATGAAATATATAAAAGACATAAAAAGGCTCAGCCAAAACATACTTAAACATAATATCATATTAAAATAAAAAGAACAAAATGATTTTATGACTAGACTAGGAAATTGTTTGATATCGTTACAAATTTACAACGCAGTCATGCAGGTCTTATACGGAAACATATTTTGATAGCTTGATTTAGCTACTGTTACAGCTTCTGAATTCTTTTTATAGTTATATTATTTATTACTATACACTTACTATACAATACACAGCCAATATAATAAACTTAATAACTATTGTGAATTCAAAACAAAAAATAAATGAGTAATTAATAATAAATTACACGTGTGCCATTGTCAGTATCTATGTGTATAATGCCAATATGTGATACCTACTCACTATAATAATATTAAAGCTATCATACATTTGCATAATGATTTTTTCGTTATTCGTTAATTTTACAGTAACATAATAATATGAAAGAATACAGCCACACAGGATGATTATTTTAATTTTAATTCAATGTTTTGGTTAAGTTAATGGTTGTTTTAACAGCAATTTACTGACGTAAATTAGATTTTGGTTTTTTTTTTTTTACATGACGAATGACAACTTATTAGATCTTAGGTAGGTACATATTCCGGTTTATGGATATCGAACATTGAATAAACAGACAATTAGCTATAAACCTCGTTTGATAACATTAGCAATAATTTAGATAAATAAAGTGGAGCGTGGCCGCGGGGGATAAACAACGATGCACACCAGGTTATTTTCACAGAATATAATAATGTTATTATAGTGCAGTACGCTGCATCACTGCTAAGATCTACGTAACTCATTTTTATAATTAATGCAATTATTATATGCAGCAAAGTTAACATATTAAATGTTGATAACTGTTTTTCTAATATTAATATTCACCGTTTTTGAAATGTGATTTGAAAATGTTGTCGTACCTAAGTAGCTAGACGCATCATTAAAATGAGTAGTATTTCAATTTAACTCAAAATAGGGTTACAATTTTCATTTATAATTCATATTTGTAGTATTATTTTAAATGCTGAAATGTAGGTTGGTACTATTATTAATATCCGCAAAGTATTCAAAAATCTGTGTAAGCCTTGCAGTTTAGACACTGAATAGACAGGACACGTGGAAATAGAAGTGTAACAATATTAAGGATAATTTTTATGTTGATAATTAATCGTACCTTTATGTAGGCACACTTAACGTGCGTACAACGTTATCAGCAGTCAGAAATAACACTAATAACTAACAATGAATTTAATTACTGCCCTTTAAACCTAAAAATATAATGTATCCATAATTGATTATGAACTATTATATTTTAAGCAGTAATCGTAGCGCGATTTTGCGTCTACACCTACGCACTTACAAAGAAACTAGGTAAACAAACTGTTTGACTTGTTTATGATGAATAAGGATCGTCTTCTTAGAAAACCACTAAACACGAATTTGTTTTCTTCACGCGACTAATACATAGAAAATGCACAGCTTTTCACGTTAGGTTAGGTTAGGTTAGGTTAGGTTAGGTTGACCTTACCTTCGTTTGTATGTACAGATTAGAGTGAATCGAAATATTATAAAACTGAATAATAAGAAAATTAACAGTGTTTGTATGTAAGTGTCAGTAATTCAATTTTTAAGTGAGATATGACTTTATTCGAGTGTTTTTAAATTGTGCTATTTGATATACACAAAACTTGCTAAACATTGAACTATCGTAAAACACCATCATACAAACATAGATAAAGTTCTTACCATTAAGTTTCATAATAGGTCGATGCACTCAAATGTTTAAACCAAAGAAGCTAAACGTGAACTGCTAAGCATAAATTTGATATGTTTCGAACTTGTAAGACAGAGACATCAAGTGTGGGTGTAGCGTCCACTTATGAAGACCGATGTTTGTTAAAAATATTTATTTAAATTTGAATTTTTTATACTGTGAATACTGAGCCACACTGATAAAACTGGGCCCAGAAATTCAGACCAAATTGTAGAGTATTATATTTTATTACTTATAGGTTATAATATTATAATATACTGTATAATATTAAAGTTGAATAGATCATCATGCACCAGCTGCAAATCTTTTGTAATGTTTCATTATATTATCGTCCAAAACTACTTCTTTATATATTATAATGTGATATAATCAATTATCTTTCTTTTATCATGTTCTGGTGTTTATTTAATCTTAATGAATAAACAAATCGAGACATTCAAACGTCCCAATAATGGTATCAAACAATCGTTTTATTAATCTTAATAATTAATTACGAGTAAAACGGAAAACGGAAACCTCTCAATAGACTCAGAATTAGATTAGATGACCTTCGAATTCAATAATTTAAATACTTTATTTTCTTTTCAAAACAATAACAGTACATTTCTGGTTTTGAGAACACCTTTGTACTGTTGAATACTTTAATACATGTGTATAGTGTATACATTATTATTATACGAATAAATAATTCTCTATTGTACTTAAGGGGATTCCACCGTACCGTTTTTTGGAGCCAAATAAACCTATACGCGTTCCAACGTACTAAATAGAGTTTTCCAAACATGTTTGGAATTACTATGTAGTCTATTTTGAATCCTTCGAGTCAGGGTTATAAAAAAAAATTTTAAGCTATTATAGTCATTTGAAATTTCTAAAAATATAAAATTTTTTCTCTCAATTTCAGGTTATATATATTTTTTTTAAGAAAAATAAATGAAAAATGTGGATAAAAGAATCTAAAGCTGACATAACAGCAAAATAAATCTGTTTTCAACATTTTTATCAGTGTAAAAATCAAGTCACTATGTTGGGATGCTGTGTGTAGAACATAAATGTATAGGTGTATTTTCTCCAGGTAGAGTGGAATCCTCTTAATCTTATATTTATTGAACTATGGTGATTGATTTATTGAACAATAAATACTTTATAACTATACAATGACGACACTAGTAAAATATTATTTCTCTTGTTATATTATGTTTTTATACTTTTATAGTTTTATCGATGGTAATGAAAATATAATACGCATTTATATAAACCGAGCACAAGAAAAGCAACTTTAATTATGATATCAAAGCCGTTGTTACTTCAACCATATTATAATAATAGTAATTATGGCAATATTATGTTTTTTATTTCAGATAAAAGGTTTCTTGGAAAGGATTGATAACAAGAAAATAAGATTTTCTTTATATGGCTTGAGTTATTTGGACGACGAATATTTCTTATCAGTGAGTTTTTTTTTACATACTAGGAAAAAAAACGTTAACTTTTATTCACAAACATAACGCAACGCCACAACAATATCGATAACTATCAATACTCATTACTCAGATGAGTAAAGATTTTATTGTTTCTGGGAAGCAATAGGAACTAATTCTCTAGTCTGTTAAAACAAGAATAGAAAAATATTCAATTATTCATTCGATAATAATCGTTTTTTCGTATTAAATATTTTCAATTTTCTTAGCGCGTGTCGTATAAATATGTGTGTAGTTTTTGATCATTAGTGTGTGTGACAGTAATGTAAGAGAAATAGACGAGCACACATGTTAATAACACACTACTAGAAAATACACATACAAACATGGAGATGGAATAGTTGCCTATTTTGTTTTTTTCTCAATACCTATATCAATATTTTACTAGATGTATTAATATTATACAATTATACTATACCGATTTATCCTATAAGATTTCTGAAAAAAATATTTGAGTTCGTAACAAAGTATACTTCAAAACTCCGTTCTTACTTCTCACTGATATCAATTAATTTTTTTAGTTAAAAATTTAAAAATTTAAAAATTAATTTTGGGAGTTAATTTCAAAAAAAGCGGAAAAGTTGTTTTCAATTAAACTTTATTTCGAATTCAAATACGTTTTCAGAAGGTTTATAGCTTATACGATGTGGACTAGAATTAGTCAGTACAAAATAATGTACAATGATCATATGATGGAAAAAATAGAATTTAATCACACTTCCGATTTCCATTTTATTGTTTCAACGAATTAATTACTACGAGATTGATAGTAAAACGTGTTTTAAACTTTTGAATCTAAATAAGTTAAAGAAAATATCAAGGACAGTAAAAAATTATAATTTATATCATTTTTCGTATTTATGTCGTACCCTATTGCAATGGAATGTTAAGAAATAATTTATTGAATGATAATATAAAAATATGTATATCAAACTTAACAAATAACAATGCTGTGATAATGTGTAACAATGTGTTAGTTAAATAAATTATGTCAGTGTAAAGTGACATTTTTATGAATTACATTTTCATATTTTTACAGAGTGTCATGGCAGTGGGAGGATACCTAGTGATCATCATTCAATCATACATGACAGTTATTGAAGATCAATATCCAATTTATGATCGTCCAACTGCAGACAAATTTGACGAATGAACCAACGAGCGTTATTCTTTATTTTTAATTAATTTTACTGCTTATAACTTACTTATGCGACACTATATTCATATTTCATAGCAAATATTATATAACGCTAGTGCATTGTATAGTTGTATTATAGTTGTATATTATTCGATATTGCCATTAATCCTTATTTGTTCAAAAACTTAAAATCGAGATTTTACAAAAGCAACGTTAATTTGATTGAAAATATCGATTTTCGAAATTATTATTTTTTAGACTTAGTAATGCGCACTCGGGAGTGGGGCTAGTTTAAATCAATAACAATTAGTCTTAGTATCTATATCCATACCATTATACCATGAATAATAAATAAATTGTATTACAAAAAATATCAAGTATCAAATAAAAATAATGTAATAATCTTATTTGGTGTGCGCCTTAAGACTTGTGCGTACACAATTCAATATACACGAACGCATACAAAGTTGTATAGACAGCAGGCTCGCTATGATGCAGTGTTTGTGTACGAATGGTTTTATGATTCCAATTGAACGTCGAAACTCAATAAAAGCGAAGGTAGGTGGTATTTGACGATTATAAGATTGTTTCGATTACATCAATGGTATTCACTAATGACGACTTTTTTGAGAAAGACAGATTTTTTAAGGGGCCTCCTTATTACTGGATTCTAAGTAAAATTGTATAGGCAACTTCTTATACATTCAGCAATTTGCCTTGTCGTTGTACTAGTCGTAAATGGTCGTTAGTGTAGTAACCCGCATAGTAGTAGCACGGAAGGATCTCGTACGTACTCACAGGCACATGTCAGATAAAAATTTCGAAGTCCATGTCTCCAGAACCCCCACCTCCAAATTTGACATGGACCTACAATTTTGTGATCCAAAAACAATATTTATTTTTCACTCAAACAGACAACTTCAATTCAAACTATACCTCACATCAATTACATCGATTTGCATTTTGAAAAAATAATTCTAATTTTCCAGCACATTTTTAGAATTTTAGATGGTCGATTTATTATTTAAGTTTAAAATGTTGCAAATTTTTGAAAATTATAACAACATTCATTGCAATCTAAATTAAAACAATTGAAATGTGAGTAGATCGTCACTTTGGACATAGTATTGAGAATCCGAATATTTGTGCAGAATGAAAATCGCGATAATTGTCAATACGTATCGTTGGAATTGGAAACGGTACTTTTCGACAAAAAAATCGCACATTCAAGAGGCCCCTTAAAGCATTCGCTATAGGCAATTTAAATGGAGTTTAACGCATCAAACAGCGCTTCAGCTTACAGCTAACAAGACTGCCGTAACAAGCAGATATTGGTACGCAAAATCTAAGTAGACATTTTTGCAGTGTACATTTCATTCCTGTCCAATCGGGGGAATCCTCACATTATTAGGTTTCCGTTTTCAGCTGAAACGCTACACGTTGAACGGGTCGTTGGCATTGGTGGCGTGCGTGTTGATATACAGAGACAGGGCCACTTCCGAATCGCCGACTCCGGAAATCGTGTTCCGAATTGTACCGCATTACGTGCAGATATTGATAACGTTGTTGGAGTGTACGACGCGACAAATTGTAATTCACTGTCACACTTCCGGCGACTGTAAGATCCATAATCCGAACACCTCTTCCGGTCACAAACAATCTACAATACACTCTGAACGACGTTGCAGGCCGAACGTGGTCCGTTTGGTCTTACTGGGCGGTGACGTCTATATGTCTGTTCAGCAGCAACTGGTTACGTCTGTTGAATCGAGATGGCAGTGCGGTAAACGCGGAAAACATACTCCAGGTAGGATCATAAAAAAAATATTGTGGTTGGGGGGCGGGGAGACGTTTTTGATAATTCTAGTTTCTATAATTTCATTAAAACAAAACCAGTGAATAAATTGTAAGACTACTCTAGCGCGAACACTTCGATGCAAAGTTATTCAAATTAAATTTTAATAGCAGATACTGTAATAAAAAAAATGCATCAAACATTTCCTGAGAGCCGTACAAACGATGTCCGATTTGCGGAGGTTTTAGTGCTTTTAAATTAATAATTTTTGTCTAGAAAATGTACATAATATAATATTTAGGTAAACATAATTTCTTTGAATGTGTGTAGGTTCGTTTGATTTTATCAACGTATTCGAAACACCCTCGGCTTTCGTTCAAAATATTTGAATTCATTTAAAAACATTAAGTCGAAAACAACTATAAGATTTTTAAGTATATAGATATATGTTTTATATTATATGTAATACCATTGCACATTCCAGATGTATATATTATAATATGAAATTTTCCAATGGCCATAGTTGCCGAAACTTAATTCAAATAAAAAAAAAATAATAATATGAAATACGTGTTAAAGACTCATGCACGAAATATCATAAATTACATAGTACTAACTACTTCATACGTATACAGAGTACATTTACCCAGCATGCTCATCTCCATTTTTTAAAATTTAGTTAAAAATGTATTCAAATTCTAATTTTTGGAATTTTTAAATATTTTTTAAGTCTTGAATTTTTAAAGAGTATCCAGCAACCCTGCAAACTTCGGTTTTTCAAATGAGAACCTCCTTTTTTAGTATAAATTATTTGGTCGATATCTTAAATTTATCAAAATTTAAAATTCGAAATGTTTCAAATATTGTTTTTCAATTATTAAAATGTATATATTAAGGATAATATTCTTTAAAAATGATTTCACAAAAGTATAAAATAGATGTGATATCGAATCTAGTATTAATGATACTTGGATCATTTTTATAAAATATAAATATAGATGGAATAATATAAATTATTAAACAATTTTAATTACCTGCATTGCCGCTATACCTTCTAAACCCGTTATCGAGGACCTATTATCCCCAGTTCATAAAGTTAAATGACTCAAAAACGTTTGAATTTCAATTTTGATGCTACAAAATGTTCAGAAAAATTATCCGCTTAATAATAATTTATAGTAAACAGGGAGAGACGGAAGGTTCTTATTTGAAAAACAGAAGTTTGTACTGGTATCACCACGAGCCCTCTTTAAGAAGTACAAAAATCCCAAGAATTGTTCGTCTTTAAGTATATTTAAAAATGTCAGAAACCAGAATTTGAATACATTTAAAATTAAAGGGAAAATATAGGTTAGCACAATATATGTTTGGTGAATAACCCTGTATATTATATATATTGAATACCTTTATTTGTATTAGTAATTATTAAATATACTTAGTGTCTATAATATAATACAATTAGTGCGTGATGTGTTCGAACAGATTTGTTTGTGTTTCATTCCATTACTTTCGGAAATTAATTTTTGCCGGATGTGTGCCGAATTTAAAAAACGCCATCACAACCTCAACAAACTGGTGGCGGATGGATGTATCACCACTGCGAGTATGTATTATGTATTTACATTAAATAAACAATGTATACCCAACACCAAATAATACTGTAGGACTTGGGTGTGATTTATAGTTGTATTGCTTTACCTACGCATTTCCAAATCCAAAATGGTTTTATCAGTATTATTATACTCAGAAAAAATTGACTTAGATAATACGATATGATTTTTTAATAATATAATATTATGATATTGTCATCGTTAATTATTGTATATCATATCGATTAGCAGAGACCGACCAATATTTGAATCGAAGGACGTTTCTTCACAATGATGATCAGAATGTATCCTCGGAAAAAGTCTGAATGCAATATTGTATTTCACAGAAATCACCACACACAATAAGAACTTGAAATAAATTAAGTAGATACCTAAGCGAAAGTATAAAATACATTTTTTTTTTAAATAATAGGGTTGATATACAAAGAGAGTTAGTTCTTTTTAATTTTAACCTAAATTTTTTTACGTTGTGGTCTTATTTTATACGCTAGTGGCTAGCGACAAGCTGACGATGAAATTAAACATACCTATAGCTGGTGTAGACCTATGCAAACAACAAAGACAAAATGTAATTAGCACATATTTTCTTCTGAATGCGATTTTTGTGCGATAGTATTACAACCCTTCTTTTTCGTAACCGGAATCTTTTACCGTTAGTCGTCCCGTATAAAGTACCTATGTAAACGTCGTAATATGTTCACACCATAATGTTACTCGTACACATCGTTGTACTCGTATAGTTGACACTTGTACGACGCGTGACTCGTCTACGTTTGGAAATTAATTAGCAAAGGGGTGGAGAGTCGGATACGTCGAGTGTTTACACTCCGCATGATACATGCATAGCTGTGTTATTCACTGTTATATAGGTATGTAGAATACTAACTATATAATATGCATTGTGCCTGTGCGCCATATACCTACCTATGTGCACCGTATTTATATATGTTGTTGTACGCAGCTCTGTTGGGCTACAGATCGTGATTAATCCATATAGCTACCTACGCGCGTGCTTACCCGTTTGAAAAATTAGGACATACTGCTGTGGCAGCAGCGACGGCTGTAATAAACTATTATAATAATATATATATATATATAAATGTATTTATAATATTTTATATACTCGTATTATAATAATATATAGTGCGATGACGAAAACTGTATAATAATATAATATTATAATGGCGATGCGATTAGCCACGAGCCTTCATATGCGTGCATATAGGTAAACATAAAGGTATATCGTGTACCTATATAATATTATACATACATTCGATCGCGTATTCTTATGGGAAATTTTTTTAATCGGTCGCGGAAGGTACCTATGTGTAATATTTTACAAACGCCCCGGAGGAAACACTTCGGCGCACATATCGACATGATCGATTAATATTCAAAATAAATATAGTAAAAATAGTAATAATATATAATGCACAGTAGGTACCTATACATTAAGTTTTATGTACGTATAACATACCCACGGAATATTAATGCGTAATTATTTATCCGTCGCGTATACCTAAATACCTGTACGCGCGTATTACATTATTATAATATATGTATTACGCGAATCTTCTATATAATTATACTAACTTATCCCGTGCACTTTGTTGCCCGTTAAAAAATACCAACTATGTACTATTCAAAATTTGTCTTCAATTCGTAATTTAAACCATGGTGATGTTCAAAACTTGCCGTGACAAATTCCCGCGCTTGAATTGAATTTACCCCATCTTAATCTCCATTAAATATTTTTAACACAGCCTTATAAAATACAGGTCTAAAATTATATTCCATCATAAAAAGTAACTACTTTTTTTCTCCAATTTTTGGTTTTGTATAGGCTTAAAATCGGTACCTAATAACCGATTGCTAATTTCTTATTCATCTATACTAAATTTTGTAACCAATGGCATCCCTACTATGATAAGCAAAAATTACTACACTGGCTTATAGAATCAACCGTTTATTAGAATCAAAAATGAAAATCCCAAACCAAATTGTATGTTACTAATGACCTTTTATTAGAATCACCAAGTACCGGATAATTGAATCACTTTTATGAACAATCTTATTGTTTTTATGGTATCGTCGTGTACTTGTGTCATTTATTATGTATGTTACATTATGTAATTATAAATAAATATGTGATTGTATTAAAATATTGAATTATGAAAAAAATGTTGTAAATTTTTTATAGAATCAACCGGTTAATAGAATCAAAATGATCACTTTAAGCGGAACCCACTGTATTATTTATTATTATTATTTTTATCAAAAATTTTGAAATTTGCAAAAAAAAAAAATGAAGGGCCACTTGTCGAGATAAAATTTAGAATTTAACCCTGGCATAATATAGCTTTCTGATGCTTACGCTTTTTTTGAAAGGTTAAGTAGTTCTTGAGATTACCCCGAACAGACAGGCAATTTTTCTTCTTTATATTATATCAGTATGTTTAGATGATAAGATGATGTGCAATGTGCATACGGGTGATTCAAATTACATGAACACGAAAGTAAAAGGATATGAGGGGCGCGGCTTTTGACAAACACTCAAGAAATTTTTCTAAAATTTATTAAATAAGACTCATATA